CCTTAAAATGTCCGTATAATGCTGAGTCTAGGAATATTCAATGTTTGTATTTTTTCTTAACCATGAATCAATGTAGTGTTACCCTTAAAATGTCCGTATAATGCTGAGTCTAGGAATATTCAATGTTTGTATTTTTTCTTAACCATGAATCAATGTAGTGTTACCCTTAAAATGTCCGTATAATGCTGTGTCCTATATTGTGCAATACTGGAATTTTTGTATAAAAATTTATTCTTTTCGTTTCTGAATTACACGTGATATTTGTTCGAAATATTTATATAAAAGACGCAATCAATAAATTAACTCTTATGGGATTATTGAATTATGCATACATTGCTGTTCAGATGTTAAATTTAAAATGTTAACGTGACTAATATGATGGTAATACATTGTCAAAGCAAATAAAATGTGACTTTTTAAATTTAAAGCTATGTAGAACATGTGGCGCCACCTATAATCGATAATTCACCTTTCCAATATTATTTTATTTTGACAGGTATATAAACGTGTTGAATAATATGTATGTAGACTCGATAAAAGCACGTTGTCTTTATTTGTTGTTGTTGTTATTTGAGACTACATCGTCATCGAAATCTCTTTTTATATAGGTTCAACTCTTTTCAATAAAGTCATTTTGTTTCTTAACGCCACCTGGTCACCGAAACTATTTTTCTTCATAAAGGTTCATTTTTTCTCAATATCTACATTTTGTTCTTTGACGCCACATTACGTGTTTCTCAGTTTTATTGTTTCTTTAGCATTTCAAGTTTTGTAGCAATAAGCGTATCCAGCTTTAAATTACGATACTTCTTTGATATCTCATGCCCCACTAACTCCCCAACAGAAGATCTAACAAAGTTCAGTTTTGGTTTGTATTTATAATATAATAATCCCTGTAGACTCCCACTGGAGAATGGGGCCCCAACAACACCTCGCCGACGGAAGTTGTTGTTGTAGTAATTTTTTAGCAGGTTGGTTTTTACGAGGTGGAGTTGCTAGCCCCGCGCCCACCCTTCCTCCTTTCTCATCCTGGACCAGGCATCCCTGCCTGGGAACGAACCCGGTACCTTTGGATTAGAAATCCAACGCGCTATCCACTGCGTTATAGGGGCACTTGTTTTGTATTTGGTATCTACTAATTATTTTTTTAAAGCTTGAGTAAAGTTAGGCCTTTAAAATCATTTGATCGTTGACGCTATCTTATGGTCTAGACATGTTTTTATTATTAGTTTCATTTTTCGCAATGTTTGTGGTTATGTATGTTTTAAAAATGTCTTGCATGTTGATATATTTAAATGAATACCCAGAAAATGGCCTATTTGGATATTTTAGACTGTGACTCCCTAGTGGTGATTTTATAAACTGCATAAGCATTTTTATGAAATATTTCATTAACAAACAGTTTATTCCGTACGACTGTTCTATTACATAGTTACTAAATAGTTGAATCCATTACAAATATTACAGTATTTCATTGTTACATCACCTTTATTGTTCTGTAACGAATATTTTGAAGGACTGTTAGTTGAGTGTTCTTTTAAACACGTGTTCAGTAAAACAGAATACGTAGCGAAGAAGATTCTAGTGTTTTTTATTGTACAACTGTCTGTACCACCGAAAATGACTGAAGATAGTATAAACTGTTGTCTGTCTATTTTATGGTGAAGGTGAGACGTGATCTGGTGATTATTATGCCAGATTGCAAATAAAGGGGTCCAGGGCTCGAGACGAGGTACTGTTGATCACTCTTCTCTTTCATTCGTTGTAAAAGTTACAGGAAGTTATCATCTTGTTTTTTAAACTAACATATAAGTAGCTTCATTCGTTTTGAGCTACTGAGCAGAGAGATGACAGCTAGCAGCACCTACTGCCACAAAAGAATTGTCAGCTCTTTAAACTGAGTAGCGGAATTGACTATCACCTTTACTACACATCCAAAGCTGAAGCAATGCATCAAACCCTGAATTCTTCGATTCTCAGCCAGAAACACTAACGATTAAGCCACGTTCAACTTGTTTAGAAAGACTGATAGACAATATTATCAGTTAGCTTTAAGGAGACAAGACACACGCGTGTTCAGAACACAAAAATTAAATCTTACAAAACATTTCTGTATTTGTTTAATCTAGTATGGATTATCTAATTAAACATTATATAAACTACAAAGTGATAGAGACAGTTGTGATTTGATGGCTAGTAGGTACACGGAACGTGAATTTGGGATCGTAAGTGCTTTATGAAAGAGATCAGACAAGAGTAACCCAAGAGTTGGTGGTGGGTGCTGTTATCCATTACCTTACTCCTAGTCTACTGATTCCATATTAGGGACGGCTATAAGCAGCTAACCCTTGTGTAGTTTGGCGCGAAATTCTGAAGCAAGCAAACACACAAAAAGGATATTTATATGATTGTTATTGTGTTGGAATTTAACGCAAATTCTTCCATTATTTCTATTTATTTTTTCAACAAGCATTCAAAGCCAAGTGAAGAGAGAATAAACTATTGTAAATACAATCCAACAGGTGAGTATTAACTTAATGTAATGTGTGTATAATGTATATATATACTAGTTGACGTACCCATTCAGCGCACGGAAAAAACATTTGAACCTTTGGGGTCTCATAGGTAGATCATATCCAAACGCTGACCTCATGGCCATTCTTCTGTGTCCATAAAGATACTTGCTAGGTTTCATGACAATCAATGCAGTGGTTCGTCAGTTACAAGTGAACACACACGGTCCTTTTTCAAATAATGGTTCAGAATATGTTGGTTTTGAAATGAGTTAGCAAATGTATACATTGTTCTTACGAACAACTTAATATTTTATAACTAATAAATAAAATTCTTTTTCATTCTAGTGCATCCGAACTGACTTGTTACGGTGGTCACCTGAAGGTTCTTGACACCAAAAGTCCAGAAACAGACATAAATCACCAGCAAACACGTGGCCTCAGCCAGCTTGTCTCGGCCATTAAGCACACTAACGGAATATTACCCAGCTTGTACAACATTCATGAACAGCGTGTGCCTGACTTTGGCTATTTCTGTGGCCAAAGGGCAGTTGGTCGAGGTGTCAATTATTTCTCAAGTGGAAATAACGTCACGCTTCTGATTTTCATGTCACGTAAGACATCCTGGCGATCTCAATCATTTAGTGTTTTCCTCACGTATAGGTTTATAACCAGGAAGGTACATGTTGGAGTTCCAAAAGATGACACTAAGATTAATGTGGGAATCGTCAACTCTTTTTGTAATGTAGAATACCGCGACTGTGTGAACCAAGTGTGCGTTATTAGATCTCCAAATTTTCCTGGCACATTTTTACCAAATTTTACGTGTCAGTATCTAATAAAACAAGAACTGGTTCCAAAGGGTTTTCATGCACAGGTATTATTAAAGCAAACTAATGAATACAAGATATCCATCGATAATGGACACTCTGGACCTGGAGCGATTCCAAGTGTTTCACTGACCACGGACTGTCCACGAGACGTGGTGCGTATATTCAATGGTCCGACACCGGATGCAGTATTGTTGACTGAGTTCTGTGGAACAGGTCCTCTTCCTGTAGTCAGGTCCAGTCAGTCCAACGTTTTGGTCCAGTTAGTTAGTGCACCGTACCAGCAGTTACATGACTCCAGACTAGAGATCGAAGCGGAAGTTAGATTTGTCAAGGATCCCTTCTGGCGGATTTCGGGGAACAGTTGTGAATTTCTAATCGATGATTCGCGTGACAGTGTGGGGATTATCGAAAATCCCGGACACACTGTGCCGCCACACACTACCTGTACCTATAGCTTGAGAGGCAGAAATCCATCTGACCGTGTGTGGTTGTATTTTACTTCTTATATTGTGGAGGACAAGCATCCATGGTCACTCAAAGAATTCTGTGACACTGGTCGATTCGAGATTCTAGGGTTAGCTGCTCCACATCATCCGGTATTTCTAGGAAATGAATCTTCATTGGAAAACCTAACTTACTGTGAGAAAAGTTCACCACGACTTTGTGCACGGGCAGGAGAAACCCCTAATCTCACCCCTTTCCGTCCATGTCGTTTTCCAAAAGAGTCATACTTTTCTAAAGGACCAGAACTAATACTTCGGTTACATTACCCAAGATTATCGGAAATTTCGACTCTTCAGCCCATTTTCAAAGCACGCTACGAAATCGTAGACACTAGTCAACCCGGAGAGGCTGCCCATTTGCCCGGGGAGGCTGCCCATTTCTCCCTCTGTGATCGATTTTTATATAGTAGAAGTGGCACGATCTTCTCCCCCCGGAATGTTTTGTATTATGGACGAGGAGGCAGTAGCGAAATTTCATGTCGTTATAATCTCCAAGGAAAAGACTCGTCCAGAGTAAAAATTGCCTTTCAAAGTTTACATCTCTTATCATCACTGTGTAAAAATGTCGTTGATAAAGCATCTCATGAAAGAACTTGTGAAATTACACAGGGACATAAAGAACCCATTTCTTTTATACAGGTTGTTGAAAACTGGCAGGGAGTCGAAATACTGACGGCCTGTTTTTGTAACATAAGTTTTATATCATTCAAACGTAGGCCGATTGAACTGACGTCTCTCAGTAATAACGTTTCTCTGATCTTTACCGTAAAACGCATGACTTCGTTACAAGATTATCGCCATTTTAATTTTGAAGCCAGTTACGAATTTTTCTCTTTTCCCATTTGTGACAAAGCTGTTGTAGAAAAGAATGGTTCTTCCTGGCAACTTACTCTATCTGTGTACGAAGCCATGTTACACGAGCATGGACAGTTTCGTTGTAAATGGTCGCTCAGAGGGGTTGCTAGTAAAAACCTGTACATAGCGTTTCGTGGAACAAACGGGACAGAAAACTGTGCGGCTAATAATAATATAGCGAAAGTATATTCGGGAAGAAATGAGGCTGCCTTTGCTGTAGTTTGCCTTAATGACGATGCTACAAAACCAGAAATGGTGGTACCATTTTGGTACGCCATGGAAACGTCAAGCTTTTATCCACCTAGCCCCGGGTTACCATGGCTGTCGGATCACGTCATTCTTGAAACGCTTATCAAAGCTGCTCAAACGGTGCGTGTCTATTGGGGCGAGGTTACCAGCCCCTTACTCAAAAGAAACATTGGTCATTCCTTACGGAAAATTAATTGCCTCACCAGATGCCCAGAAATTAACGCCTGTATCAGCCCCGACCTCTGGTGTGATGGAAAGAAACACTGCCCTTCGGGATACGATGAGGCAGTGGCACACTGTCAACGCTTTCCCGTGTTGTATATCACCGCCGGAGTCGGAGCTACGGTCTTACTCTTGGTGCTGGTTGTTGTGACGATAATTGTTACCCGGAGAAAACGCGGCCGTCGTGGTAAGCAGCCTATACAGATACCAACGGTTGATCTGTTTGAAATGAATGGCAACAGGAGAACTGCAGAAGATCGTTTTTTAAAGTATTAATCCACGGTAATATGTCCACAAGCTGTGATATACACTATACTACATTTCATTAAACTTACGAAAGAGAACTGTTACAACATTATCGTGTTACACAACTAACAACGTGTTTCTACACGACTCCGCATCCTGACGCTCTAGTTGTACTGGTATTACATCTTACGTTATAGAACTAACAGAGACACGCGAAATAAAGTTAAAAAAAAAGTACCAAGAATGAAATCTACGTGATTACTCATTTCTTAACAGAATTTGTATCCATTTTCTTTAAAGTTCTTCACATTTGCTGTACTGAGTAAAATAATTTCTATTTTAACTGTTTAGTACACAAATAAAAGCTGATTGCTGGTTAGTGTAGTGTTTTATTAGTGAAGGGTGAAAGACAGCCAGTTGTTCTTTAACAGGTTTTTTTATAATATTGGTTCCTTCCAAGATATTAGAAATATCTGTATCAACGATTCTCGGAACTTCAAAAAAAAATACAAGATTATAATTTCTTACTTGCAATTGGTCTTGAGAAACAAAAAAGACGCTTCAGGCAATCGGAATACACAAGCATGAACTGGAAATACTGAATATAATCCGATATATAAAACAATTACGTGACTTTCTGAACTATAGATGGGAACGATGTTTCTTAGATTGTCATCACAGACTGAAACGTCGTCTATTCCAGTCAGATGAACTCCATGAAAACTTCAATTCCAGTATAGTCTGTATTACCTAAAACTTATTAAAACTTCAGTTTAACGTGTTAAAAGCTTACACTCGTTTTTAATACATTACAACGTCCTGTAAGGCTTAATAAAACTAACTCTACATATTAGAGTATTTAAGGTTCATGAAAAGATGTTCATTTTGAATTGTGGAAAAATCTCTTTAACACTGGTAGAATGGTAAAAGTAAAATCATGTTACTACAACAATGTTACTGCAACAACAGTTGTAGTTCTTATTGGTAAAAGTAAAATCATGTTACTACAACAACACTGGTAGTTCTTAATGGTAAAAGTAAAATCATGTTACTACAACAACACTGGTAGTTATTAATGGTAAAATTAAAACCATGTTACTACAACAACACTGGTAGTTCTTAATTGTAAAAGTAAAATCATGTTACTACAACAAACCATTAAGAACTACCAGTGACTTTTACCATTAAGAACTACCAGTGTTGTTGTAGTAACATGATTTTACTTTTAACTACCAGTGTTGATGTAGTAACATGATTTTAATAATGGTAAAAGTAAAATCATGTTACTACAACAACACTGGTAGCTCTTAATTGTAAAAGTAAAATCATGTTACTACAACAACACTGGTAGTTATTAATGGTAAAAGTAAAATCATGTTACTACATCAACACTGGTAGCTCTTAATGGTAAAAGTAAAATCATGTTACTACAACAACACTTGTAGTTCTTAATGGTAAAAGTAAAATCATGTTACCACAACAACACTGGTAGTTCTTAATGGTAAAAGTAAAAGCATGTTACTACAGCAACACTGGTAGCTCTTAATGGTAAAAGTAAAATCATGTTACTACAGCAACACTGGTAGTTCTTAATGGTAAAAGTAAAATCATGTTACTACAACAACACTGGTAGTTCCTAATTGTAAAAGTAAAATCATGTTACTACAACAACACTGGTAGCTCTTAATGGTAAAAGTAAACCATGCTACTACATCAACACTGGTAGCTCTTAATTGTAAAAGTAAAATCATGTTACTAAAACAACACTGGTAGTTATTAATGGTAAAAGTAAAACCATGTTACTACAGCAACACTGGTAGTTCTTAATGGTAAAAGTAAAATCATGTTACTACAATAAAATAATGACCTACCTGTGAATGGATAACTAAATAATGATTAACCCTTGAATTACTGTTTAACCCTTGAATTACTGTTTAACCCTTGAACTAACTGTTTAACCCTTGAATTAACTCTTCAACCCCTGAATTAACTCTTCAACCCTTGAATTACTGATTAACCCTTGAATTGCTGATTAACCCTTGAATTACTGTTTAACCCTTGAACTAACTGTTTAACCCTTGAATTAACTCTTCAACCCCTGAATTACTGTTTAACGCTTGAACTAACTCAGTAACACTTGAATTGACTGTTTAAGCCTTGAATTATCTATCTCAACCGCTTTGTATCCACGTTTTTCTAAGCTAATTATGCACCAAATTGCTAGTGGGTCAAGAATTTTTTTTATTAGAATACATGAGTTAAACAAGAAAAAATAAACACAATTCCCCGCAATATTGCAGTTTGTCCCCCTAATTTGGTCAGTTATTTAAAAGAAAAACAGAAATACGTAAATTAATTCCATTAATTGCTGTTTGAAATTCTTTATATACCTTATATAAAACTGGCTTAATCCAACTTTTCTTTGCCAGTTTTTTTATATTTAATCTTCTAACCGGAGATAATATAACATAAAACTAGTCAATACGGTGCAGTAAGTGAACCCCACTGGTAGTGGGTGGTAAATAAGCAAGGTGGTAATTTGGGAGTTAAAACGCTACACAAAATTTGCATGAATTTACCATGTGAGCTAAGTGTTGTAAACAATGGAAACAATGACTTAAGATGTTGCAAACAGTAAAAAAATACTGATTTTAAATGTGAGCTAAGATGTTGCAAATAACAGGAAACAATGACTTAAAATGTGAGCTAAGTGTTGCAAACAATGGAAAATAATGACTTAAAATGTGACCTAAAATGTTACAAACAATAAAAAAGTACTGATATAAAATGTGAGGTAAGATGTTGCAAATAATAGGAAACAATGACTTAAAATGTGCGCTAAGTGTTGCAAACAATGGAAAAATAATGACTTAAAATGTGAGCTAAGTGTTGCAAACAACGAAAACAATGACTTAAAATGTGAGCTAAGTGTTGCAAACAACAGAAAATGTTGACTTAAAAGTAGTACCAATGCTGTCAGTGTTTAAAGTACATGTTTATGTAGTTGTTGCAGGTCTCCGTTTCCAACCGTTTTATTACATTAGCCAAAAGTATATACTGAAATAAAAAACTTGTGACTTAAGTAAATATATCGGTTTCTTTTCAAGATTTAATCAGAGCCTGAATCGTTTTATTTTTTTCATGTGGATATATCCAGATTTGTTAACCCTGAGTCCAGTTTCCAGCAGCGACATGGAGGTCTTTAAAGAACTGAGAAAAAAAATACACAAAGCTTTTCGCATTCTGAAAGAAAATTCAATTAATTAAGCAAAAGCATATTTGTACGTGGTGCAAACAGTCCACATGGTCAAATCAAATAATACAATTATAATGTGTTTTTATTAAATCTTTCAACAAAAAACAACAACAATTAATTCTGAAAATATTTCCTTTACAATTAATATTAACCTGTTAAAGCTTGTTAATCATTCATTACTTCTCACACATTCCACGTTAAACTCTCGTCATATCAGAGGTTATTCTACGTTAAACTTTCGTCATGTCATAGGTTATTCCACGTTAAACTCTCGTCATATCATAGGTTATTCCACGTTAAATTCTCGTCATGTCATAGGTTATTCCACGTTAAACTCTCGTCATATCGTAGGTTATTCCACGTTGAATTCTCGTCATATCAGAGGTTATTCTACGTTAAACTCTCGTCATATCATAGGTTATTCCACGTTAAATTCTCGTCATATCATAGGTTATTCCACGTTAAACTCTCGTCGTATCGTAGTTAGGTTTATATAACATATTATAAAATATTGTAATCAATTCTTTGTGCTATATTTCGTCATTATCGGGACACTAGTCAAGTGTTAATGTGTTTTTACTTCGGCTAAAGAGAACTGAAATACATCAAATATCAAACATACAAACGAATTCTAATTGTACAGTAGAAAATACAATCATATATTAATATGAGATTTTCACCCAAATATAATACAGCAAAATCATATTTTTGTCCGAAATCCCAAAAGCTGTTTCAAGTAGAAAATAATACACTGAGCCACTTGGAAAGAATGCATCGTGAAAATGTCTGCAAGCTTTACTTTGACGAGCACAATATCCGTTTTTAAAGCTGAGATGACAAACAGTAAGGCTGTTAGACTATTACTGTAATATGGAAAAGAAAATATCTTTCCCGAACTTCGCAGGGAGCGATAAAAAACACCTTATTGATTTAAGGCGAACTTGCTGTAATTTAAACTCCATACTAGGGTTCATCAAAACGCTCGCAAGTCAACAACACCCAGAGCGACAAAGTTTAAAATTGCTTGCATGTTTACTGAAGAGAAAACGTATGTTGCCTTATGACTTGTTAAAACAATTATAGTGTAAAGTATTGTTCTAATATTTACCAGCGCGTGCTCTTCTTTGCCTATGATAATTGATGAACAGTAATTTAACATACCCAACATCTGGTGTAGGCCTAAGATAGAAAAGCTAGGCGTTGCGATTTGTAAAAATCTTGGAACTTGTTTTTTTTTTTTTTTTTTTTTTTT